GTAGTAGAACAGTTCCTCAGATGTTTCACTAACTACCAGCAGGATGACTGGGCAGACCTCCTCCCTTATGAGGAATACAGTTATAATAATTCTGTGCACAGTGCTACTGGACTTGCACCTTTTATGGCTGTGCATGGCTTTGAGGGAGCTCCCCTTCCCACTGTGACCTCCCAAACCCCTGGCACACTTGGTGGACAGACCTGAAAGACCAGTGGTCTAAGACACTGACTAAAGCTAAAGAGGACTACAAAAAGCAAGCTGACAAAGGGAGAGCTCCTGAGTGGGACTTACAGGCTGGGGAAAAACTGGGGTGGAAGTACATTGGCCCTTTCAAGGTGTTGAGAGTGATCGATAAAGTGGCTGTAGAACCTGAATTGCCTAAAACCCTAAAGCATGTCCATCCTGTCTTCCATTCCAGTCTGCTGAAGAATCCGGGTCCGAATGCATGGAGACCTTGACCAGCAGCTCCCACCCCCCCTGATGACTGATGGTGAACCCCATCAAGAAGTTGAAGAAATCCTAGATTCCAAATTGAAGTGGGGGTGCTTATACTATCTAGTTAAATGGAGGGACTTTGATGTATCTCACAATGAATGGGTGTGCCAAGAACATGTTAAAGCCCCTTTGCTTGTTCGCATCTTCCACAAACACTACCCCCTCTAGCCGGCAGGATGAGGGGCCTGGGGGGGGGGGGGAAGAATGTCAAACTTGCTTTACATTTTATTGCTTGCTTGCCATAGAAGTCAAGAGGGGGAGTAGGAGAGTGTGAATTTCAAATGCTTTCGCTTTCAGATGGTTTGAAGTAGATTGTTGCTTATCGTGTCTGGGAACGTCCATCGGCCTTGAGTCTCAGTTTACACCACCTGGCTCTTGTCTATGTATTGGGGGGATGTCACCAAGGATGTCACACAGAGCCGTTGGTTTGGGCAGGTGGAATACCTGGGGGTGATTGGCTCATAATCTTTTAGGGTTCCTGTTTGAACCTTGCATATCTATTGCTTTTGTGCCTCCATTTTCAGTTCTAACACAGCCAACGTACAGGCTGGATCCTATCAATGTCTCAATAAATTTTTCATTCTTCTGAGTGAATGTAGTTGGGAACTAATTTCTCCAAGAGTCTGACAGATGGGGCTTTTGCCCAACAGTACTTTTGATTGGCCATTGGAGATCTGATTGGCTGTGCAAAAGTTTAAAAATATTGCTTTGGCAGCAGCTGCCACCACAGCACAAGTGTCAGCTAGCTGCCATTTATGTGTATTCTGCCCTTCCCTGTTCCCGCTTGCTTGCAGCTCAGCTGCTTGCAGTAAACATGCCAGGGAGACCGTGGGAGCTAGACGCCGTTATCAGTCTGGCCTTGTGAGGTAGGGAGGGCTTGCGGTCCACATTTGGTGTGAAACTTTCTGCTCTCAGGATATCTGGCGACTCTCCCGCTCATTATGTAATCTCCCGTCAAGAGTCTTCCCACGCGCGCGCTCGAAGTTCATTTCCTTAGCTAGTTGCCTTGCCCAGCTATATGTATTGGGATGTTCCTGCCTTCTAGTTATTCCTAACAATAATCCTGTGGACATGGTACCTGTCTTGTACACTAATAAAGCATAACGCTTCTTAGGAAACATGTGTGAAGAGTTACTTGCTGTGGAACCTGACAGAAATTGTTAGGAATCCTTTTCTTTTCTCCATCGAGCCGAGTCTCTCGAGAATGAGATAAGCGGTCCTGGTGGGACAGGGGGCGCTACCCCGATCACAACGGCAGTGCCTACCCCGACAACAACGGCGGCACCTACATCGATCACAACGGTGGCCCCTACTCCGACTACCACGGGGGCGCCGGTGACACTCCCGATCACCACGGCGGGAAGGGGGTGCCAATAACGATGCCAAGCCCCGGTGTGCCAGCCTCTATGGATGGAGGGGCCATCCCAAGGTCGACAATCTCATTCATCCCGGTGCATTCGGGAAGAGGGGTGACCTACCACCGTAAAGAGAGGGATTGGGGCAGGCATCTAGGCGACTCCACGTAAACTACCTGGTTGGTACCAGGGAGTAGGAGTTGGGACAGCATCTTTGACCCGTGGTCTAGCTCCGGGAGCTTTGGAATGACCCCAAGTTGACCCATCCCATTCCCACCGAGATCGTCGGTGAGTCCAGGTTTGAACGTGGATGGGAGATTGGATGTGTTGGAACTGGACCGTCGCACTATTATGCGTGACATGGGACAATTACTCCATAACCTTTCAGGGATAGTGGCCCGAGTGCTGCAGACCCAACTGGCTGGCCCTCAGGTTCCGCCACAGCGTCCCCCTCCGGTGCCAGCCACAGGCCCGGGTCCTGGCCTGCCGGTCCCACAACTGCCTCCACCGCCGCCGCCCCCTCCTCCTCCTACGCCGCCACCGGGCCAGCCGCAACCCTCGGCACTACCAGTGGTTCCAGCTCCCCCCTCCTCCCCCAGCGATGCCACGACCTAAAGACTTGTTGGACGTAATGTTTGATGGCGACCTGGAGAACCTATCGTTCTTTATCGTGCGGGTGATGAAGTTTGTTGAACGCTGGGCTCACTTGTTCCCCGGCGAGGAGACGCAAGTTGATTTCATCGCTTCCCACCTGCGAGGTGTAGCGACGAGCTGGTATGTGGGGCTCCACAACCTGGAGGCGAGGGAGTTAGAGAGCATTGATGCCTTCATGTGGGCACTGCGAGCCCGGTTTGAAGACCACACGGCGGGTGAAAAAGCGGAGGCGTTCCTCCAGACGTTCAAGCAAGGCAAGTTAATGGTTTGGGAGTATTCCACTGAATTCCATCGGCAGGTGGCCAAAATCTGGGACTGGACAGACCCAGTGTTCACCCAGCAGTACAGGTTGGGCCTGAATGGGAGATCCGAAACACGGTTCTGGGGACCCGAGATTGGATGCAGGAGGCTGAGAGTGCCGAGAGCCGTTTGCGCACTATGCGGCTGGATAACGCAGTCGCGGACAGAACAACGCCGGCGCATCCCCACTCTAAAGCAAAAGCCATCGTGGGGCCATCGGTCAGGGAGCAGCAGATGAAACAAGGGCTATGCTTAAGATGTGGGGATCGTGGCCATTTCGCCGCTAACTGCCCGTTGGGAGAAGGTAGAGGTGCGCCGAGGAAAGAAGGTGACAAGCGCATGGGCATTGAACGGGGCCTGAGCAGTGCTTATCATCCAGAGACTGATGGCCCGTCCGAACGGGTTAATCAAACCCTTGAACAATATTTGAGGTGTTTCACAAACTTCCAACAGGATGATTGGACAGACCTACTGACTCTTGCTGAATTTTGTTATAACAATTCTTACCACGCTTCTACAGGAATGTCACCATTCAAAGCAGCTTTTGGTTATGACAGCCCCCCGATCCCCTTTCTGACTTCCACTCTGGGGAAAGGGGGGAGGCTTTTGAATGGAGCTCGGCGTTAAGAGAGGTGTGGGCCAAGATCTGCGAAGCATTAGACATGGTTAAAGCCGCTTACAAACATCAGGCTGACAAGAAGAGGGTGGAGGGTTGGGCTCTGCAGCCTGGGGACTCTGTATATGTGTCTACTAAAAACCTACGTTTGTCACAGCCGTGCAGGAAGTTGGCGTGGAAATACACTGGTCCATTTAAAGCTGTTAAGCTGATTAATGAAGTGACTGTTGAATTGGACTTGCCTAAGAACTTGCGGAACATTCATCCAATTTTCCATTTCAGCTTACTGAAGCCTTGCCCAACATCTAATCCCTGGTGCTCAGAGCCGGCTCAACAACCCCCAATTCTGGTGGAAGGGGAGGAACATCAGGAAATATCTGTGATTTTGGACTCTAAAATGAAACGTGGGCAATTGTTCTACCTGGTGGAATGGCTGCATTGGGGTCCCGAAGATCGGGAGTGGGTGGCAGGGAAAGACGTGCGGGCCCCCAAACTCCTACGTAGATTTTATGCCCAATTCCCAGAAAAACCGGGCGATCCCCTGTCGGCTGTGGGGGGGGGGGTGATGTGTTTTTGAGGGGGCAGGATGTCAGCTAGCTGCCATTTATGTGTATTCTGCCCTTCCCTGTTCCCGCTTGCTTGCAGCTCAGCAGCTTGCAGTAAACATGCCAGGGAGACTGTGGGAGCTAGACGCCCTTATCAGTCTGGCCTTGTGAGGTAGGGAGGGCTTGCGGTCCGCATTTGGGGTGAATCTTTCTGCTCTCAGGATATCCCGCGACTCTCCCGCTCATTATGTAATCTCCCGCCGGGAGTCTTCCCGCGTGTGCGCGCTCGAAGTTCATTTGCTTAGCTAATTGCCTTGCCCAGCTGCATGTATTGGGATGTTCCCGCCTTCTAGTTATTCCTAACAATAATCCTGTGGAAACCTCCCCCCCCCACTTTAATGTGGGAATGAAGGTAAGCTGCAGTAGCCATTTTGTGGCTGGCTATGCCTCTTGGGGCTGCACCCACCACACTGTGTCAGAATTTGAAAGGTGTCCAGAGACTCAAAAGGTTTGGGAACCCCGGCTTTAATGTAATCTTATTTTCATATTAAATGAGCTATATGTGACATTCACCCTTGGGTTCTGTAGCTTCTTCTTTTCACCCTCATTCTATCTTGAATTCCCACTGTCTGTATGTAGACACTATGCTCTTTGGGGCAGGGATGCATCTCTTTTGTTAATGAAACTCTGTATATGGACCTACATAAATATTACAAGCAATAACAGTAACAGCAGCAGCAACAGGAAAGCCTCATGGAACAGCTTTGTGGCAGTGCTGATGACACAGCACAGATTCATTCCAGGGTCTCTCTGGTGTTTACACCATCTTCACTGTGTATTATGCACATCAGCTGTGTGTCTGATATGCAACCAAACCATGAATTTGAGCTAGTGCAGACACATCTTTAGGCTCACTGACAAAGCCCACCTAAGCTTGTTCAGAGTCTTCTCCGTCCTGTCCACCATTCCCAATGGCTTTGCAACACAGCCCCCCACCTCCACCCCGGAGACTGCATAGTTCAGCATGCTACTTACTTGTCTGCAGACTCCGGGGTCCCCGTCTGCCCTCTGTTTGTGTTTTAACCCCGAACCGGCCCGTTGCTAGAGGAAACGGACACAGCACTTAAAAAGGCAGCAGGGCGCAGACAGCCAACAATGTCACAGCCTAGTATCCTCCCTATTTGCTAAGAATCACTGCCAACGCAGGGATCACAAATGGCCTCTTCACATGCTGTTCCTCAAAATTATGTCATCCAAAGTCCAAGAAACTGATCAGTTTGCTTGCTTGCTATGAAACTGTACTAGCTGGATCAATTTTAGGCGGTTTCAGAATTGATGTGTAAGAATTCACAGCAATACACATTTGAGAAGTAGTAACCAATAACCCAGGGCCACGGTGGCTCAGAGGTTAAGACATTGAGCTGCAGACCGGAAGGTCTGTAGTTCGGCAGTTTGAGACCCGAGTGCCACGTGACAGAGTGAGCTCCCATCTCAGTCCCCGGCTCCTGCCAACCTAGCAGTTTGAAAGCAAGACATTGCAAGTAGATAAATAGGTACTGCTTCGGTGGGAAGGTAACAGTGTTCTGTGTGCCTCGGCGTTTAGTCATGCCGGCCACATGACCACGGAAACTACTTCAGACAGTGCTGGCTCTTCGGCTTGGAAATGGAGATGAGCACTGCCCCCTAGAGGCAGATTCGACTGGCTTTCAAGCAAGGGAAACCTTTATCTTTACCTTTAACCAATAACCCACTCTCATTTACTACCTCAGTCAGTCATAGTGTTGTCATGAGTTCTGTCTTCTGCTTCCAACAGTCCCTTCCCAAGAGCCATAAGGTGTGTCTGCACAAGTGCAATCCTGTGGTTTGACATCAGCATTGTGCTGATGAGCATCTGACCCAAGCAACTTGCTCTGTGACTCATGTTGGTGGGGAATGGCTGCCTGTTCATGTGCTTCTAAACAAGAGCATCTGGACAGCAGAACAGTATCATCATTCATATGAATAGCATCTGCACAACGTCACTGACATGCTACACCATTCCTACTGGCAACCCCTTTTCTGTACAGCAAAGGCGCAGGCACTGTGGTGCATTCCATAGAGCTGCCCATGCCCCCCCTCCCCGGATACATTTTCATCCCTGCCCATATCTCTGTGGTGGGGACCAGTAAACCTTCAAGAATATAAACTTTCTGGTTGGTGTTTGAGAGAAAGATAGGAAGGAAGGAATGTGGGCAGAAAAAAAGGACAGCAGGGAGTGCCAAAGAATAAGGGCAATTTGGCAACAGTGAGAGGGAGTCAAGGAACCCCCAATACAGGCAAGAGAAATGCAGTGTGTGCTCAAGGTCAGGAAAATAGTGAAAGACTAGCTTGATACCCGTGTTTCACTACGGCATTTAAGTTCCGTAAATCCAGTTATAATACTGATGATGTGAAGTCTGAAATGTAACATTTGTAGTAGGAATTCTAATGGAGAAGATTGTAGTGTAAAAAATGAAGTGAGATATACGTAATTTTCTCTCTCTACTGAAGGACCTCTCTGTAGACGACATTGGTGGTTCTGCCCTCAGGTGCTAGGATCACCAGGCTGCTTGGTGAGCTCACTCTGGAGGAGGCCACATAGAACTGTCCATTTAAGAAGCACCTTCCACAAAAGTGATGGCCTCTCTACTTGTGTTCCTGGATTGTTTTGCTCATATGGAGACTGTGTTGTTCTGAGCACCTCAGGGTGATCTCGCTGGTACTTGGCCTGCGCAGCTCAGTGCCCCACAGGAGTACTATGTGCAAATGTCTTTGCCGCATTCCTAAGTTGCCTCCTTGTAGTGTTGCTGTATCTGGCTCGATATTTGCCAGAAGCTTTCTTGGGGGCAGTAAGAGGTGAGAGGTTGAGGGGGAGCTGGTGTGAGGGAGTGGTGATGCGGTGAACATTTCTTAAGTTTCATGAGGGAGGCACACATTGAAATGGCTCCTAGAAAGGTCCTTTACTATCTCTCCATGAACATTCATTCTCAATTGCCATGCCGACTTTTTTGAAAAATGTCTATTCAGGAGTCTTGAATCGCTGATTTCTTTAACTGTCCTCAACTGTCTGCAGTCTCTTCTAACAATTGGGGAAACACATTTTGCCCCTTTTTTACCCCCTTATGGTAACACCCCCCCTTTTTTTTTACATAAATGCTTTCTGCTTATGTTACATTTAAAAAGTGGGACAAAACTACATATTCAAAACACCATCCGAGCAATCAGGTATTAAGCAAGTTCATATGAACCAATTTTCCAGAACCCACATTGTGTTGGGGCAGACTCCCTCATGACTTTAAGCACCTTGCAACCACTGCTGCACCTGACAGACAACCACCTGTTAGGTGTAGGAGGTGGGGGGAGTGTGTTGGAAGCCATCAGAGAGGCTGGGCCAGCAGCTTTGCTTCACCTCACAGGCGGCTGGCCACTCCTGATTTCCTCAACTGTCATTACCGGTAGCTCTCTGCAGTCTCCTGTAACTGTTTTTTTTTTACCTCAGAATGCTGAGCTCTGCAGCCGACCAATCAGAGAGTGGGGGGTGCAAGGAGGCAGCAGCCTGGGAGCCACATAGGAATCAAGGGGGAGAGCACATTTTACCCCTTTTGACCCACTTAGGGGTCGAATTTCTAAAAAATCCCTTCTTAGTGAGCATCTACGTCATGGTAGGAGTGCTCTCCCCGAATTTGGGGTTTCTAGGTCCAGCAGTTTGGCCTGGGCGTTGATTTTACGGTGAGGGGACTTTCTTTTATATATATAGATGAAGAGAGGCACTTACTCTAACAATGATGCGCTCAGAGATGTGAGCAGCTAGAGTGTAGTTCTGGTTCTGGGCATGAGCTTGCAAGGCGACAACCAACATGAAGTATCTGAAAACGTCACAAAACAGGACGGAGACCAAGATGACTCAAGTATTCCAGTGGGTACCCAAACACAACTTAATAAACACACAGTATTTTTTTAAAAATAAATTTTCTAGCAGGCAGAAATGATTTAAAACATGACATAATGTAACACACATATAATCAAAACAAGTTATGCTCTGATGGAAAGCATGGTATGAATGCTAAATACAGAGAGCCAGCATGGTGTAGTGGTTTGAGTGTCAAACTAGGGTTTGGAAGTCCCAGGTTAAAATCCCCACTCTGCCATGGAAGCTTGTGGGATGATCATGGGCCAGTCATATACTCTCAAGCCTAACCTACCTCACAGGGTTGTTGTGAGGATAAAATGGAGGACAGGAGAATGAAGGAAACTGCTTTGGGGAGAAAAGTGGGTTATAAATGAATAAATAAAAGTAAATAAATACAATAAATTAAAAATTAAAATGTCTTAGTTATTTTGATGATCCTGTTGAGGACCAAATTTCATTTTAATAGTCCTTTCATGAGTCCCAAACCACCAAGTTTTAATTATATTAAAAACAACCATTAAAAATAAGCTTATTGGAAAAAAACCCTAATCTGCACTAGAACAGCAAAGCTGTTCTGTAGCTGTTCTACACTTTTAAAATGGGTAATTTATATTCAAATCTCCCTTTTACCCTTCAGTTAGGTCACCATCTTTGTCAGATATTCAAACTAGACCAACTTGCGCAGAAAGCATTCCTTTGAGCTGGTCCTTAGCACTGAGAGTCAGGGGCTTCTCCTGCTGGAAATCCTGAGGCCCCCTTATTACAGCAGAAGTGATCGGTTGGGCTGAGAGAGCATGCAAGAGGTGGTAATTAAACAGCAGCTTTACAGTCAATGGACTTAGAATGATCTAACTCTACTTAAGATAGCACTGTTAGTCTTCTATATCAAAGTTTCTCAAACTCCTTGCTAATGGGACTGAAAATCTGAAAGCACTGTGGAATCATATTTTGATACATACTAATATGTTGAGGAATTCAAAACAAAATCTCTGTAAAACAGTGTACCTTTTAATTTCCATTTTGTGTTATAAGATTAAGTTTGAAATATTAAACTTAGAATATTATATTGTACATTTATGGTCTTTGTCTTAATGACAAAGCAGAGAGACTTGGTGGCCGAGAAACAGCGACTTACAAGGATGTACACGACTTCAGTGGAAGTCTGAGGTGCATCTAGGATCTGGTGATCAATATTTCCCAGGTTTTTTATAATGTTAAAATGGAGAATCTACATCACAGCACTGGAGAAAGTAGAGGTTAATTTTTTTACCCCCCCCCCCCAATGCTGCTTTTCTGATTTAAATATACTCACTCACACTGCTGTCTGCCCAATGGGAGAAAACATGCAGGTACCATATTACACACAACATGTGAATTACAGAGATGTGGAGTGGTACGGTCTGATTTGATTGTATCTTCTGGACCAAAATAGGAAGGCTTACAATAGTAATATTATTCAGGACATCTATATCTGACCATGACTGAAGGCGATACTCTATAAGACCTCACCAATATTCTTAGGCCTTGCATCAACTTGATTGTAACTATAAGTAAGTAAAATCTCTTATATAATTACATAATTTAAGTTTGCTATTGGAAGTAGTTTGATAATCAAAAACAACTTTCCTCTCTCTCATTTTTAAACAGGACTCCTTCTTTGGTCCTACGTTGCTTTATTTATTGTCTCATGACTGTCTCATGGAGCCTACATGTACAGACATTGCTTGACCACTGAAGAAGGCCACTATAGGTCCCGCTTGTGTGTTTTGTACACTTTTATTCTGTATTGAGGCTACAATTGGGCCCATAATTGTTTTTAACTAATTGATAACAAATACATGTATTTTTGATGGTAATTAAGTTTCAATTATAATTTTTAGTCATTGGCCTTTTACTTTGTATGTAACTAACCTTTCAGGTACTTGATTTATTTGTTTGGGTTAAGCCCCACCCCCTTTTCTCTCTGTCTTTGCGTTTTTCTGAGGCTGCGCCTTTCCCTTCAACTGTCTCTGTAACAAGAGCATTAATGCAAGATACGAAGTGCTATTTTTAAACTAAGTGTATATTTTAGCCAATGCAGGATGTAAAAAGTATTTTACGTGCCTCTGGTGAAGACAGACAAACTTCAAACTAGCAACAGCACTACCTAAGAACATGCAGATTTCTGCATCAGTGCAAAAAACTTAACATTTAACAGCCACAAGCAAGTATAAGTTCACTTCAGTCACAGACAGGGGAGAGGTGACAGACAACCTCATTGGTCCTTACCTCTGATCGGGATTGGGCTTGCCCTTCTTCCGCATGTTATTGGCTGTGGTCTCGCTGAAATGCAGTCGCCCTACAGTGACCTTTGTAACCTGCTCTGGAGGCAAATTGACCCTGAAAAGGAGGGGGGAATAGGAGAAAGTGAAGATCCTCATCTGTCAAAGAGAGACTGTCATAATGAAAGTAACCAAGATGGATAAAATTCCATGTGTTAATGACTCCAAGTGCTCCATGATGGAGAGAGAATCAACACTCCGGAAAAGAGGTCTAATGCCAGAGAATGCTAAATATTTCTAAGGGCCCAGTGAAATCAATAAGACTTATTCCCAATTTCACAAAACCAGAGAGAGGCTTCAGCTGTGATATCCCTGTGCAATAAACGTAATGTGCAGTCATTTCTGTTTTCAGCTGTTAGCGCAGGAAGGTAAGGTTTCTGCAGAGAAGCAACATAGCCTGTACATATATAACTGTCCTCTCCAGATGCAGTGCAATGTGAAGTGATCACACCTTCAGGCTGATGTACAAGAGCTGTCATAGCCAAACTGCCTTGTGCTTGTACCTACCTTTTTCTGGAGCACACATAACCCTGTGCAATAGAAAAGGGAAAGGGGCAGAAAAGCCTGCAAGTGAGAGTTACTACAAATATTACATAAGAACATAAGAGAAGCCAATGTTGGATCAGGCCAATGACCCATCCAGTCCAACACTCTGTGTTACACAGTGGCCAAAAATACCAGGTGCCATCAGAAGGTCCACCAGTGGGACCAGGACACTAGAGGCCTTCCCACTGTTGCCTCCCCCAGCACCAAGAATACAGAGCATCACTTGCCCCACACTGAGAATTCCTTTCTATACCTTGTGGCTAATAGCCACCGATGGACCTCTGCTCCATATGTCTATCAATTCCCTCTTGATGCCATCCATGCTTGTAGCCGCCACCACCTCCTGTGGCAGTGAATTCCATGTGTTAATGACTCTTTGGGTGAAGAAGTACTTCCTTTTATCCATTCTAACCCGACCACTCAGCAATTTCATTGAGTGCCCACGAGTTCTTGTATTGTGAGAAAGGGAGAAAAGTACTTCCTTCTCTACCTGCTCTATCCCATGCATAATCTTGTAAACCTCTGTCATGTCATCCCCCAGTCGTCATTTCTTGAAGTTCCTCATCAAAAGCTCCTAAGTAAGCTCAATAGTCATGGGATAAAAGGACAAGTCCTCTTGTGGATCGACAACTGGCTAATTGATAGCAAACAAAAAGTGAGCATAAATGGGCAATTTTCTCAGTGGGGGGGATCAATACTGAGTCTGATGGTTTTAAACTTGTTCATTAATGATTAATGATTTGGAGTTGGGAGTAAGCAGTGAAGTGGCTAAATTTGCGGATGACACCAAATTGCTCAGGGTGGTGAAAAGCAGGGAGGATTGTGAGGCACTCCAAAGGGATCTGTCAAGGATGGGCAAGTGGGCGTCAACATGGCAAATGGGGTTCAATGTGGCTAAGTGCAAAGTGATGCATATTGGAGCCAAAAATCCTATCTATAAATACACATTGATGGGGTCCAAACTGGCAGAGACTGACCAGGAGAGAGATCTTGGAGTTGTAGAAAATAACTCACTGAAAATGTTGAGACAGTGTGCAACAGCAATAAAAAAAGGCCAACGCTACGCTCAGGATTATTAGGAAGGGAATTGAAAACAAATCAGCCAGTATCGTAATACCTCTGTATAAATCAATGGTGCGACCTCATTTGGAGTACTGTGTACAGTTCTGGTCACCACACCTCAAAAAGGATATTATAGCATTGGGAAAAGTGCAGAAAAGGGCAACTAGAATGATAAAGGGTTGGAACACTTTCCCTATGAAGAAAGGTTAAAGTGCTTGGGGCTCTTTAGCTTGGAGAAATGACGGCTGAGAGGTGACATGATCAAAGTTTATAAGATTATGCATGGGATAGAGCGGGTAGAGAAAGAAGTACTTTTCTCCCTTTCTCACAATACAAGTACTCGTGGGCACTCAATGAAATTGCTGAGCGGTCGGGTTAGAACGGATAAAAGGAAGTACTTCTTCACCCAAAGAGTGATTAACACATGGAATTCACTGCCACAGGAGGTGGTGGTGGCTACAAGCATGGACGGCTTCCAGAGGGAATTGGATAAACATATGGAGCAGAGGTCCATCAGTGGCTATTAGCCACAAGATATAGATAGGAATTCTCAGACTGGGGCAAGTGATGCTCTGTATTCTTAGTGCTTGGGGGGGGCAATAGTGGGAGGGCTTCTAGTGTCCTGGCCCCACTGCTGGACCACCTGATGGCACCTGGTATTTTTGGCCACTGTGTGACAAAGTGTTGGACTGGATGGGCCATTGGCCTGATCCAACATTGGCTTCTCTTATGTTCTTATATTCTGCAACAGCTTAAAACTTGCCAACACACTCCCAAACACTGTCCTCCCACACAGTATCCTCAGCTGAAAGCAAATTAAAAAAACACTCATTCCTCTAGCAGCTTTGTCTCCTGTTGCTTCTCAGAGCTCAGATGGGTCTTTTCCCCTTAGGCAGTTTTTTAACGCTCTTTCCCCCTTAGGCAGTCTTTGGAAGGCACCCTTTACCTTTCCCATTATTAACCCTTGATACTCTCTCCTTCACAATGAGCAATACTCACATGACAGGATTAAAGGGCCGCTTGCTGCGGTCGGACTGTGACTGTTCTATGTTGATGGACTGGTTCAAGGCCTCCAGCTGTTCAAAAAAAGATCCAAGCACATTTAACAAGCACTGTCAGAAGTACCTCCTGAAGACCTATTCCCAAGCAACACTGAAGATACCTTAGTGACTGGCACAGGGAACACACCCTTCTCTCTTCTTCAGTTATATACCTGGGAGGAGATGAGTCTGGGAAACAGGAGTTTTACACGTTGCCCAAAGTCTCATTATGAGGAATATATTGCAATTATTTTTAAGACATCCAAGTAGCTGCCAAAAGGACTGGATCAAAAGTGTGACAGTACTGACGATTTAAAGCCTCACACTATTCCTCCCATGAAATCATGCATCCCTTGAAGCTGCTATTAGCCACACTGGGTATCAAAGAAAGACAGAGAGAGAAAGAGAAAGGGGGGAGAGAGGGTATCTATTTTTCGTTCCCATTGTGGCTAATAACATGCCACGGGGGGGGGGGAGTAATTTCCACTGAGGAAGCCCAAAGAAAAATACTTAACTGCCCTCCTCCTCCAGCATTGCAAAGCATGGCCTCCCCACAGTGACTCTGAAGTCTTTAAAAATGTCAACTGATATAGCATAGCTCTCCCAGTAGTCTAATGGTTTCTTTTTTGCTTCCCAAAAAGAAAAGCATATGTATAAGAGCAGGTAATAAAATGGCTAAGTGCCAGAAAACTGAAGCTCAGTCCAGACACAGAGAGTTACATGCTTCTAAATCAATTGAAATCAATGGGCGTAAAAGGGTGTAACACACACACACACATTGTTCCATTCAGTTGGATTCACAGCACTGAAACCACATGCTTACACAGATGTCCACACTCCCCAATAGTTCCCCACAAACCCAATAGGTTCACACTGGTGTATACATAACAACATCAGCAGACATAGTCACCAGCATCCAATAGAGCCTCCCACCAGCCTGCCATCAGCCTCTTTGATGACTGCAGGTGTCTGGACTTGAACTTGCCTTCACACCATGTAGTTTCAGGTAGAAGCACTCGAGTGGTTTCAAGCCCTCTGGGGTCTTGACATACTTGGCATCACCAATCATGCCAATGTATACTGTGACCTGGAAGTGATTCTTCTTTTGGCACACGAAAGCATCGTCACCCACCGAGAAGTTAAAGCCTTTATCTGCATCCACCCGATAGGTGGGCATTGGTCTGTGCACCAAGGAAAGATTAAGACAAGAAAGAAGGTATTGAGCAAAAGGAAAAATGAGTTAGAAAACTAATTAACGATATGAATCCGGGGCCAGCACTGCAATTTGCTTATGGATACTCCCCGTCCAGAATCAAGAACTGCACAGGCTTCTTCTTCCACCATCAGTGAACGCAACCGTCTTATGAAACTATAAATATTAGAACACTGTATTTTCCCCCACTCACACAATTGGCCAGCTGGAGATATGAAAGAAGCATTTCCAGTAAGTGCTGTGAGAACTGCTGTTCTTCCCTCACCCCCTTCAGTCTTGGATGCCTTATTCTGGAAGCACTGAAGTACTGCTTTTGGGTTCAAGCACCCTGTGTAACACCAGCAAGGCATTTCTGTCCCTTAATGCCTTTACTCCTATCTTAGCAGCAGCTAAATTGCACAGAAAGATTCTGGTGGTCTGAAGCAAAGTCTGAGTCCAGTGGCACCTTTAAGACCAACAAAGGCTGCGGTCACACGGAGCATTAGCCACGCTACAGAGACGGAAGATAGGGGGATTTTCCGGGCGCGATCGCACCTCAATATCTGGGAAGCGCAGAGCTCCCGTGGCGAACCCGAGGCTTCCCACCGAAGATGCGGAGTTAAAAAATAGTACCTCCGAGGTACTAGTTTCCAGAAACCGCAGGGCAAGGGCTGGTGTCTGATCGCGTTTCCGGTGGTGGCATCCGGCGTCCACCCATGTCCCTTCGCAAACAGGTTTTTTTCCCCCCAAGTCTCCACAAGATGCGCACAAGCACCCAACGGCGCATGCGCACAAAGAGGAAAGCGAAAGTGCTGTTTCGGCTTTAAAAAAAATGTCCCACTTTGTCACGGCAGCGGCGCCTAGCCATTGCTTGTGTGATCACGCCGCGCCACTTCTTTGCCGCACTACAGGATCGTCGTGTGATCGCCACCCTCGTTTACCCGCCGGCGCCGAGGGAAGGACCCGTGGTGTGCTGCCGGCGCATCTGATTGCGTAATCGCGGGTCAAACTGCACCGGGGCAATTAGCCACACCTCCCTCCCGCGATATCCGGCCCGTGTGACCGGGGCCAAAGTTTTGTTCGAGGTATACACTTTTGTGCAGAAAAGGACAGCAGACAGCAAATAGGACTTTTCTACATTAGCATTTTGCCCTTCCCCCCAGTGAGTTCAGGATGGTGTAGGGCAGGGGTGTCGAACTCATTTGTTATGAGGGTTGGATCTGACATAAATGAGACCTTGTTGAGCCGGTCCATGTGTGTCATAAAAGGTAATGCCAGGTAGCGGAGATATAAACTTTATAAAGTACACAGACAAACACAATTAAAAAAAAATTAAACTTTAAATAACACATTTCCAGTGAGTTCGACACCCCTGGACAGGATCTTTTCTTCATATTATCCCCACAACAAACTTGCAAGGTAAACTAGGTTGAGAGAGGAGAGAGTGTTGCTCAAGGAGGTTTCTGACTAAACGAGGGCTTGAATTCAGGTCTCCCAGGTCCATCCAGAATACCCATACTACCAGACTGGACTCTGTGAAGGAGGAAAGGAAATTCCAGAAGGTGCAATGTTATTTGTGCTTAAATTAGGGACATGACCAGAAGAACTACAACTCAATTGTTTTAGATTTACATTCCATCCTTCACAAAAGCAGCCAGAGATACTTGCCAACCACAGAGGGGCAGAAGAGCCTCCTCTGACCTGAAAGTCTGCACTGTCAGTCAACTGATGCAAAAGGGATCTCAACCAGTAAGACCTAATGGATGGCTTCCCCCTTCCCCTCCCCTTCTTTCCTTCCACTGTTCCCCTTCCCCAGTGGTAGAATTTCCCCTTCATATTGTGTTTATCTCATTTTGATTCTATATAACCGATTATATTGTGTTTGGATGTATTTTAATGTATTTTATTGATGATTGAATTATTTGACATTTGGAAGTTTTTTTGTATATTTATCACTGCAATACTTAGGCCAGTTAGCAGGCTCACTGTAATTCAAGCCAGGCGCAATACCAACTTCTTTTGTAGTCATCGCAGTACTCTCAGTTTCCTCAAAATCCTCTGTTTCCGCTGTGTGTTCCACTGGAACATCTCCACATCAGTGTTCCCTCTAAGCTGAGTTAGTGTGAGCTAGCTCACAGTTTTTTAGCCTCCGGCTCACACCTTTTTGCATTCGCTCAGGAAGGATAGCTCCAGAGCAAACTAATTGATGCAGCAGCCAAATTGCTCACTCACAACTGTAATGCCAGTAGCTCACAAAGTAGAATTTTTGCTCACAGGACTCCACACCTTAGAGGGAGCATTGACCCAGACTGAAAATCCCCATTATGCTGAAACTTGCTGGGCGATCTTGGGCCAGTCATGTACTCTTAGCCTAATACAACTCACAGGGTTGTTGTGAGGATAACATGGAGAAGAAGAGAACAATGTAAGCTTCTTTTGATCCCCGTTGGGGGGAAAGGAAAGGTAGAAATGAAGTAAATAAATAAATAGTTTGTCCTAGCATGCAACAGTGTATCAAATGGAAGCACCTGTTCCAGAAGGGGAGCAAAACGCCCCATATGAAATCGCCAGAACTGCCCAGAGTCTCCAATGTAGCTTTTCTCCTCCTGGCTTCAGCACCCTGCTGTATCCTCTGCCACAACCCTGAGTTTAGTTTGAAGCTTATAATTGCTACTGACTAATATGTACTCGGAAGCTGCAGTGGCTCAAGTAGTTAAGACGCTGAACTGCAGGCTGTGGAAGGTCAGTAGTTCGGCAGTTTAAGACCTGGGTGCCGCAAGACGGGGTGAGCTCCTGTCTCTAGTTCCAACTCCTGCCAACCTAGCAGTTCAAAAGCAAGAAATTGCAAGTAGATAAATAGGTACCACTTCGGTGGAAAGGTAACAGCGTTCCGTGCGCCTTGGTGTTTAGTCATACAGGCCACATGACCACGGAAACGTCTTCGGACAGCGCTGGCTCTTCGGCTTTGAAACGGAGATGAGCACCGCAACCCTAGAGTCGGATTCGACTGGCTTTCGAGCAAGGGAACCTTTACCTTTACTTTAATATGTACTCGCTCTGCCTTAGACAAACCCAAATTGAATCTTGGGATCAGGAACATTATTTATGTATTATGTGGAGGTAACCACTTAGTTTATATTTATGAGTTGGTTGATTGTAGTTATTGTTGGTTTTGTGTTTCATGTTTACAAATGTTTAAAAACTCAATAAAAATTTATATATATATAAAAAAGAGCCACCTTACATGTTTCCAAGCACCTCTCCCTCCATCCCATCCTCTCCCAGCTATTACTTTGTACAGAGAATATGAACTCCAGGACACAAAGCAGCAGCTCCGGACACACACACAAAAGCAACATATGCAGCAGCTGGGGAGGTTTAATCTGTCTCCTTAATGGACTAGTTGCCATGGGAACAGTGAAAACATGTGGCCCTCCCAACATGCCTCCCTTTCTCCCACCTCCAGAGAAGTCTGCCCTGCTCTGCGGGTTGGGCCTCTCCAAGGGATGCTGCATCTCAGACTGACATGCAAGCAGATAAACCTCGACGGGACAAGGGAAGGGCTGAATGCAAGCTGGATTTTTGCCAAAGTCAAGCTATATTTTGAGTATGTGCTGGAGTAAATTAAAAAGAAGAACTATACTAAATAAAATTGCTCATGTTAAAAGGCCCATTTCTTACATTCTGTTGCTTGTTCCCTGACTGAAGAAAGAGAAGGTGCCTCTTGACCAAAGAGATGAATCCTTCTTAGGAGATTTTAAAATGTCTTAAATAGAATAAAAAAGTGCAGAGTTTAAATAGAAGCCAATACAGTTTTGTTTCCTCCACACCCCAGCTTTATTGGCAATAGGTTGTTGATGGTCTCTGGCACTTCCAGTTTCAAACTAAAACTAATATTCAGCAGGCACATTGTTTGTTGATGATTAAATAATCAACTAATTGTATGGACATTATGTAATAGGGGTCATGGCTTGATAGTAAACGCCATGTCTTGCATTCAGCAGATCCCTAGAAACTCTAGCTTAAAAATATGTCTAAAAAGATCTCTTTCCTTTTTTTTCCCTACCTGAGACCCTTGGGAGCTGTTGCTTGTCTGAGTACATAGTACTGAGCTGAATGGATCAATGATAATGTCATATGTTTGATTAACTGATTAAACCTGTGCATGTGTCAAACTCTGTACTTTGTTTGCCATGCTGATTTCTGTTCGCTGTGATGCTTTTGCTTAGAGCTGGAAGGGGGGGAGCAAATGGAGGAAGTATGTGTGGGAATGAGCTTTGCTAGGCACCTGTAACAAATTCCAAGTGGCCTCCAGAGGAAGGGGAGACGAGTGACCTTGAAGCCTTTGCTGCCAGGAACGCTGTTATAGACACACTTTATAGTTCACAGATGTGGGGGGATTTTTAGTATGGTAGCCAACCTCCAGGTGGTGGCTGGAGATCCCCTGGTATTAAAAATGATCTCCAGGCAACAGTGAAAATAGCTGTTTTGGAAGGTGGACTCTACGCCTCATTGAAGCCCCTCTCCTCCCAAAGCCTGAGAGTCCCAAGATCAGCCAGCTCTTGTGAGGCTTTGGGGAAGCTGATTGTGCTCATGTAGTCTGCTGCAGTGGCCTGACAAAGACTAATAATAAGGAGGCTTGGATTTATACCCTGCCCTTCACTTGGAGTCTCAGAGCAACTTACAGTCTCCTGACCTTCCTCTCCCCACAACAGAGACCCTGTGGGACTGAGAGGCCTCTGAGAGAACTGCTCTGACAGAGCTGTGACTGGCCCAAGGCCACCCAGCTGGATGCACTTGGAAAAGTGGGGAATCAAACCTGGTTCTCAGGTCCACCACTCTTAACCACTGCACCAAACTGGCTTAGAAGGACAGGGTTTAGAAGAACACACTAGTGAGGGTGTGGCATAAACTCCTACTGGATTTATAGGGCCAGGGACCTGCTTACCTAGGGGACCGCCTCTCCCCATATGTACCCCAGCGAGCACT